TCATGGCACTTCTCAGTCAACTCTTCATTCAGCTGGGTACACTTTGCATTTGGGGATCCTAGACTAGAGTCCAGAAAGACAGGCTAAGTAAAACCATCCATAAGCTACTGCAGGAACACAACACAGGACCAAGGAATTTGGCAGCCATTCTGCTTTCCTAAACCTCACCTGAAACCCAGATCATTCTGATGCAAATCCCACTCTGACACAGCCAAATGACAGGACAGTTCATGATTAGCTCAAATATTTTAACTGAAGAAAATTCCAGTTACTATTTTTGGCCAGTATAGCAAGTATGCATGATTCTTGGACATTACATATATTTATTTATAGTATCTTATAATGCCTTATTCTAAAGCACAACTCAGAAGCCATAAAAAGTATAAGTCAGAATTCTAAATGACTAACAGTGCCATACAGAACAGAGTGGCACCCTTCTAAGACCACTGATAGCAATGGACTTGAAAGAGAGTAACTCTGCTCAGGATGGCACAATAAAGCATCCAAATTACCAAACTTTTGAGAGGCCCGGGTTGCAGCGCAGTGGAGCGGTAAAGCCGAGGTGCGCTCCTTGAGCTTGCTGATTCCTTTGTTCCTTTTTGAGGTCTGGGGGCTCCCGAGACCACACTGCACCCTTGAGAAGAGGTGCGAAGAGCAAGGGGCTTGATTCGGGCCTCCTGTACCATGGCGCCGTGCGGGTTGAAGCTGTGGATTGCCCCCAATGCAGAGGACATCAGAGAATGCTCATGGCGACATGAGTGCCTAGCTGTCGCTTCCCAATGAGGGGGGGGGGGTGCCTGAATTTCAACTCCAATACCAGCGTGAGTAAATGACTCATCATTCCTCTCCGGAACAGAGACATTAGCTCGTTTAAACTTTAAAATTACTTAAGAGCGAGGTGGGAGGTCCCCCCCCCCACCTTTCTAATCAGCGGCCGGCTATAGAGAATTTAAGCAATGCCATGTGGCTATCTCTAAGGACTTGAAATAAAGAATGTTTTTTGACAGCTGTGAACTTACTACTTAAAGAAACCATAACTAAAAGAAGATTGTAGACCTTGCACCGTACCCTATTTTTCCCCTTTGTGGGGTAGAGTTTGGAATTATAGTCAAAAGACGACTGTAGACTCTGCAACGTACCCCAATTTTCCCCTTTGTGGGGTGGAGCTTGGAGTCGTTTGCTCCTTTTTAAACTTTACAGGTTTTCTGTTCTTTGGAATCAAGAAGATACTGTATTTCATTTGGGAAATATAACATTTAAAAGGGAAACTCTGCTACAACTGGAACGGCATCTGTAAGACAATTAACTCTTTGGTTTGACTTGTCAACCCCTTTACCAATACTTCAGGCTCCCAATTAGACTAAAGTACGCTTGGCTTCTGCCCTTTACCTCTGGTGTTTGACTGTATTTTCTGTGTTATATTGGTGAGGTTCAAATAGGGAGGAAGTGAACTCTAAAATTCTGTTCCCATAATAACATAGCTGTGCTGAGATATATTCCAGTTGGGTCTATACAAGATTAATTTGACTGTTTAAAAATAATGGTACATGGTATTCTGAAAACAAACTTGTTGCATAAACATCAACTTCTCTTGGGAGGGAAAGAAAACTGTGTCCTGTTTAAAAGAAGAAGGCTTTTTTCCTTCCTTTCTTGATATTATTTTAAACTTGAAACAAAATGTCTGGGAGCAATAGACCGGTTAAACCACCCACAGGTTCACCAGGTGCACTTAAATCCGTGACTTCCAGTCTACCATCTGCTACAACCAAAGATTTACAAGTGCTAATTCAGGAGACAATTAAGATGGCAATCTCTGAAGCTCTGGACCCAATTAAAGAATCTATGAAAAAATAACGAAACAATTCTCCAATCAAATGGAAGGGCTGCATAAACAAATAGCAGATAATACGCAAAAGATAGCGGAATTAAACAAATCAACAAGAAGATGAAGGATAAAACAAATTACCAAACTTTTAAACTATAGTTTAAACTATCAATATAAAGCCACCTATCGTCAGAGAAAATCAAACAACAGATAGGCAGGGGTTAAACCACTAACAACAATTAGGAACAGCAATGCAAACAATCTGACCTACCAAAAATCAACTGAAATAGATAGCTTTTAACCAATCTTCAGAACATCAGCAGGATGTATCAGATGAACTGCTCAAGGTAGGAAATTCTAAAGTTTAGAGGAGGCCGTCAACTATGCCTCCATATATTATGGTATCTGAAGTATAGCCTCGCCTACTGATCTTGAAATTTTGGAAGGCTTATATGGGAAAAAACACTCCTTGAGATACAGTGATCCAATGCCACTTAGGGGTTTATAGCTCAGACACAGAATTTGAATTGAGTTCAGAAAGTATTTGGTAGCCAGTGCAACTATTTCATTACAGCCACAATGTAACAGTATTTGTTAGCTCTCATGATTAATTTGTCTGTAGCTGAAATAGAATGCCCCCATTTCCAAACCATCTTCATGACAGCCCCATACACAGTGAGTTACAGTAATCTAATTAAGAGTTCATGAAGGCATAGATGGCAATGACCAGGTTTCTATTAGAAACAGATGTAGCCCAAGTTCAAAAAAATGGCTCCACACCACATCTGACAAAAGAGCATCCAGGAACAAGGCAGTGTCCAGTAGCATTCCAATCTGATTTTGCAAGGAAAGATAGGTCTCATCCCTTCTAGTTGGTCTACAAAGCCTCCCAAAATAATTATTTCCATTTTGTCTGGATTGAATTTAAGATTA